GTCATAGCTACGACATACGCATCTAATAATACATTACCAACCCATGCTTGTCGTAAGCGGCGACTAACGGGATCGGGTGGTCAAGCTCGCTGACTTGGTTCACATGTCACATTTTGTTATCGTATCCCAATGGCGTACATCAATGATCATGCTGATGATCACTGGATCGTCTGGTCCAGACACAATTATTTACAGACCGCTGCCATATAGCTTGATTATTGCTGAGTGCGGCGTAAAACTTAACTCACTCACTCACCAACTATCTGCCAGGTGCGTGATTTTATCGTATTCACAGAAGTGTTATTATACAAGTTAATCTATTTTTCTGGACTCGATAAGGATTAAAGTTTTGTGATATTGAAAAAAGCTAGGTATGATAAGCCCTTCTAGGAAATAAGCCACAACATCCTCTGCCCTTCATGTAACAGAGTAATCCTGGGATATTACCTAGAACAACGGCGGTCTTCAATTAGCTTGTGAAACTCCACTGACACAAATCAATATGAACACGTGTCCGTCAGTCCGGATTCAGGAAGTATTTATTCTATCACTGAAGGATTAATAGAAGACAATACAATTGATAAAAACTACGGAAACCTGTGCACGACAAAACACGATCTAGCGATTACGACTATCTCTCCAACTTACAGCCATCGTGTGTACGCAACATGTGGCTGGGGATATTGTTGACGTAATTGGGAAGATTCTCACTTACAGGGGAACATATGGTTAAAAGCAATACCAACGCGCGTCTGTGAGTGAATTGTTTGTTGTTTAAAGCAATCAATTATACATGGAAGCGACAAACAGCAAACAAACCAACGTGGTAGCTGCAATATAAACATCTTGGGACCAGCCCTCCAGTGATCGATATTATGAGCAACTACCTTATATGGGTACCATGAAATGCTATCAAACAAATCACCCAACCCATGAAGTCGCGTATAGTGCCAGAGACCTCTTAGACTCTTCAAACCCCACAGGAGATGAGAGAGTAAAGTGGGTGATGATCAACACCCCCAACAGGATATATGTATGCGAACAGACGACGTCAGAGAAGACGTGCTCTACGTCATGTGCTTGCATGACGTCACAGGCGGTGTTGAATATGTACACCTTATATTTGTCTATAAAACTGACCGCCATTGTGGTCATGTTGATGACGCAATGTCTAGGAAACACTTTTCAGGTTGTATCCACACAATGGAATACCAACAAAGGCGGGTGACTCCAAGCACAACTGCTGGAACACATTTAGTATAAAGGGGATCTGTTGAACACAATGGCTGGTTATAATACCCGAACATAACCTGAGACCCGTGAACATCAGGGTTAAAATTGATCTTCTGTAATCCATGCTTGTCGTAAGAGGCAACTAACGGGATCGTGTGGTCAGGCTCGCTGACTTGGTTGACACATTCGTTTCCTAATCGTAAATCAATGCTCATGCTGTTGACCACTGGATTGTCTGGTTCAGTCTCGATTATTTACATACCGCCATCATATAGCTGGAATATACCTTAGTAAACATTAGCAAACAAACACACATAACCTTGACCCTTTTGACGTGCCATCCTCCGTCTGACGTTGGTCAAACCGGTATTTGATTTATTATATCTCTCTGTATAACCAGCATCAGTCATAAAACAACAGTATCGAATATTATTTATATTTCCTTCGAGAATACCACCAAGTAATTAATTCATGTATCACAGACTGACAACAAAGCAATATTGAGAAGTCCAGCAGTGACGTGGGTTTATCGCATCTACTGTAAGAGCAATCAGGTAATTCCGTGATGTTCCCTACGGAGCACTATACATATAGAGAAGCTCCATCAATCAGCGCGTACTCCTGGGGCATCATTGATACGGCAAATCTCGGAGATCAAACATGCTCGGGGCTCGGCAGTTGAGCTGGTTCCTTGACTACCTATATATCAGCAGCGTAAACAGGACGTTGCCTTGACACATGACATGACGGCTGATACGAGCGGTGTGGGGAGTAGTGGGTGGGGGTGGGGTTGTGGGTAGACAGATTGGGGTAGACAGGTGTACTGCAAATGCTGTGAATTTAGGGCTGTTGGCAGTGTGATGTTACAAAAGGGTGGTTAGAAGTGAACGAATTGGTTAGAAGATGGTAAGTTGGTTTTCAGCCATTGTACAACGTACGTGTCTGGGGTGGGAACGACTTTGGGGTAGAGAGGTGTACTGCGGCTGCGGTGGCCACAGGGCTGCGGGCAACGTTTTTCTACAAAGGGCCGTTCCAGGCGAAAGTATAGGTCATTTGACAACGCGTAAGTTACATGCAAGCATGTGCACATGCAAATGTGCATGCATTTAAGTAAACATGGTTGATGAAACACATGACAACGGGTGCAAAATGTGAAACGAAGATTAGATAGACATATGATTGGGGTACGGGGAGATGTGTGTGTGTGTGTGTGTGTGTGTGTGTGTGTGAGGGATAGGGTGGGGGGAGGAGAAAGGAAAGGGAAGGGATGGTTGAGTCAATAATTTAATTGGCAAATCTGATGTGCTGATTCCGAGAGGAAGGGCTAACGCGAGGATCGTGTGAGGCCAATGTGTATTGCTGATAGATAAGATGGGGTAACGCAGGTAATGGATGAAGTAACACACGCCAGGTTTGAGTTAGGCAAGTAGACGTGGAGTGGGTAAACGTGGAATGAGGAAAGTAAAGGTAGATGAGGTAATTAAACTGACTGAGTGAGTTTGGTTTTACGCCGCTTTTAGCAATATTCCAGCAACATCAGGGCGGGGGACACCAGAAATGGGCTTTACACATTGTGCCCATGTGGGGATTCGAACCCGGGTATTCGGCGTGACGAGCCAACGCTTTAACCATTAGGCTACCCCACCGCCCCTGAGGTAATTAAAGGTGGAATGAGGAAAGTAAAGGTAGATGAGGTAATTAAAGGTGGAATGAGGAAAGTTAAGGTAGATGAGGTAATTAAAGGTGGAATGAGGAAAGTAAAGGTAGATGAGGTAATTAAAGGTGGAATGAGGAAAGTAAAGGTAGATGAGGTAATTAAAGGTGGAATGAGGAAGTAAAAGGTAGATGGGAGTAATTAAAGGTGGAGGTAGATAATTAAAGGTAAAGAATGAGGAGTAATAATTAAAGGTGGAATGAGGGAAAGAAAAGGTAGATGAGGTAATTAAAGGTGGAATGAGGAAAGTAAAAGGTAGATGAGGTAATTAAAGGTGGAATGAGGAAAGAAAGTAAAGGTAGGTGGAGAGTAAGGTAAAGGTGGAATGAGGGAAAGTAAAGGGTAGGAGGAGGTAATTAAAGGTGGAATGAGGAAAGTAAAGGTGAGGGTGAGGGTAATTAAAGGTGGAATGAGGAAAGAAAAAGGTAGGTGAGGGTAATTAAAGGTGGAATGAGGGAAAGTAAAGGTGGTAGGTGAGAGTAATTAAAGGTGGAATGAGGAATGAGGAAAACGGTAGGTGAGGTAATTAAAGGTGGAATGAGGAAAGTAACGGTAGGTGAGGTGAAGTAAAAGGTGGAATGAGGGAAAGTAAAGGTAGGTGAGGGTAATTAAAGGTGGAAGAGGAGGAAAGTAAAGGTAAAGGTAATTAAAGGTGGAATGGGTGGAGAGGAAAGTAACGGTAGGTGAGGTAAGTAAAGGTGGAATGAGGAAAGTAAAGGTAGGTGAGGTAATTAAAGGTGGAAAGGAAAGTAGGTGAGGAGGTAATTAAAGGTGGAATGAGGAAAGTAAAGGTAGGTGGAGGTAAGTAAAGGATGGATGGGTAAAGGTTGGGGTTTGGGAAAGTAAAGATGGGGTAAACTATATTTATATAATTATTAACCAAGTAAAGGGTGGGAGGGTAAAGGGGTAATTGGTCAAGTAAACATGGTTTGAGTGAGTGAGTTTTGGTTTTACGCCGCTTATAGCAATATTCCAGCAATATCACGGCGTGGGACACCAGAAATGGGCTTCACACATTGTACCCATGGGGAGGATGGTTTGAGGTTAGTAAAGATGAAACGGGACAAGGAACCGTTTGTTGAAGTTTTGAAACTGCTGCGATGTTAGTAAATGGGTTGTGTGAGGGTAGGGGAAGTGTGCGCGTGCGTGCGTGCGTGCGCGTGCGCGCGTGTGTTGAACGTAATATTAAGTAAGTTCAGGCTATTAAACGTTGGGTGAAGAAGACATGCTTTTGTTAAGGTACACTGTCAGAACAGAAATTATGCTGAGTAAGAAGCTTAAGGGAGGCCCTTACACAAGAGACGTGAAGTAGTTGAAGTGTGAAATAAAATCCCATTAAAATTACTTTTAATACAATGAGCATGTAATTTATTGCAGCACTGAAAACACGTAGTACACCGCACGTACCATGACATGGTTGTATCAATGAATATACGCGTCTATTACATACTGAGGCGATCCCAATAAATCTGTCCACTACAGACACAAGTATGGGTAAACAAGACCAAAGCCCTTGTAAGAAATGTCGGCAAATAGGCTGTCCCATATCTCAGCAATGTATGACAGATTTAAGGCGAGGATAAAGGCGGGTGTCTCAATCAAGATCGAGAGAAAGTGATAGAAACGAGAGGGGCAGAGAGGGTGGACATCAGAAAGAATGAAAGAAAGGGCAAAACGGAAAAGAAGGTTTTAGGAAGTGACTGAAGAGAGAAGGTATAAAGAATGAGGATATTTTCACCTGAATATGGAGGGGATACCATATATATGTATGTGGCACTTTGAAGTATATGTTTATAAACATGGATAGGAACACATTGTTATTGGCTCTTTGGAACAATAAATTAAATTCAAGTATAAACATAAGTAGTTACTAAGGTACATAAAACAACACCCTTGTTATTTTTATCCTTTTCAAACGAAATTTCACTTCATATGTACAGCAGTCACGTATAGTATCCATGTACAGTACACACCTGTCATTGCAGAGAGGCGTTGTCAAGTGACCTACATCCCAAAGTGTCTAATTAGAGAAAATCACACAATGGTAACTCACCTGAAACAAGACTGATTTAAATCCCTGTATTCCTTCTTAGGATCCGCAAGGATCGTCTCTCATAATTCCTCCTGCAAATCAATCCCTCAATCTTCTTAGCGGTTGATCAGCGATCACCTATTAGCTTGCGCCGTGTGTATCCCTGCCCCCTTCGATACGCCGTCATTGTTCTATTGTGAGGTACCGTTATAAGTACAGCGCCGAGCTAGCAACAGGTCTACACAAGCACATTGTCACTACCTATAGTGGACCGAGCTCGACATGGTCGCGTAAAACCATTTACCGGTAAACAAAGCATAACACATTCGCCAGGTAAATTGTACCGAAAGTATGTTTTCCCCATCAGTTACCTCCCTTGAACGTAGATATTTGATAATAGCTATATCGTGACTTTAGGTGATTACTTAGGTTAATCTCCTCGTTGACTTAAAGTAACATCTGTTACGATTTATACTAGTTATCTCCCTTTGGTGTGAATTCCTCCTTTCGATATGGTCTGGTGTTGTTCAGGTTAGTGTGTATGTTATGCCTAGTTTCCGGTTACCAGGTCGTCTTCGGACAGTTTCGGGATTGTCCGTGACTGTATTAGTGTTTGGTGGTTACCGTTAGAGGGTAGCGACACCGTTTTATCAAGCTAGCGTTTGTGGGGGAATGATTACCTCCCAAGGGAGGTTCACACACGCGAACCAGTAGGGGAAGGGATAGATTTAGACGCTGACAGTGTGTCGCTTGTTTGAGGTTGTTCATGAATGTGTAATAGTGAAAGGAATATTGACGCCCCGAGCTTTAACAGTTAATTACATGTTGCAATTGACAATAGATGATTGTCGACAATAACTGATTGTGTCAGTCAGTCTGGCAAAGATAAAGTTTACGTTTCTATCATTTTAAGTTAATCAGGCAAAGTATAGCTGTCGATTTTAACGACTGCTCCCACTCAACTTTAAAGATATCAGCTCAAATGCGTTAATTCTTTATGACTTGGGCACTCACAGTAACGTCTCTTATTTCAATAATTTAAAATACATTATTCTATCACTACTGTTGTATATCCCAAGGCAGCTGAGAATATATTTTCATATTGATTCGTTGTTCTCTGGGAGTCGTGAGTGGCTGAGTGGGATCGATGGCTGACTTAGTGTGCGATTAGATGCCGGACTCTGGGTGTGGGTTCGATTCCTGGATGGGACTCAACCCAACAAAAAAGTACTAGAATCTGTACTTCACTGAGAAACTGTAATCCCAAATATAACGTGTCACGTGAGTGAGTGAGTGTGGTTTTACACTGGTTTTAGCGATATTCCAGCAATATCACGGCGGGGGACACAAGAAATGAGCTTCACGCATTGTACCCATGTGGGGAGTCAAACCCGGGTCTTCGGTGTGACGAACGAACACATTAACCACTGGGCTTACCCACCGCCGCCCCATATGTTACATGAGAAATGAAGATGGACAATTATTATCATATAGCTCATCATTCACTATTAATAACTTCTTTATAATCTTTAAAGTCACAATCAACATCCATATATTACGAGTGAAGCACATCTCTGATTTTTCTGAAATATTGCTAAAAGCGGCGTAAAACTATATTCAATATATTAACAATGTTCACGCGGGGATTTAAAGTTGTTTCTTGTCGTCTTTTGTTGTCCAAATATGTCAGTTGAAGTACATTGCGTGACTCATGTGAACTTTAGCTTCAAGAAAAAATCTTCACTAGGTTGTTTCAAGGTATCATGACATCGAGGCGTGGGTCGGAGTCATGGCGTCGTTGTAGCGTGTCGAGATGTGCATGCGGCCCTTGTGTAATCAGTAGTCCGTACATTTACCCACACCTGCAGGTGCACGATCATGTTTTATTTATTGTCTGCATGTGTTTGTGCATATTGTTAAAGAAATATATCAATAGCTTCGAAATGCACATTTAAACGATGCTTGTTCATTCGGAATTCATGCTTAATTCATGCGGGAATCCTGGCATTCGTCACCATTCGGCCCTTTCCGTAATCTCCAAGAACTATTCGGCTTGTCCCGGAATAACACGAGTTATCACGAATGGGAATCCTGGATCACAGCCTATTTGACTAGCGGCTACCCGGATGTGCGTAGTTCAAGGTGAACCGTGGCTGCCCTGGCCGACGGCACAAAGAACCCGGATGCACTTAATTCATGCGGGAACAAGGTGCAATAGGTGCTATGGTCAACAACACTATATACCCTTATGTTCAGATGATGTGGGGCGCTGGGGTAGCCCGGCGGTTAAAGCGTTAGCTCGTCACACCGAAGACCCGGGTTCGATTCCCCACATGGGTACAATGTGTGAAACCCATTTCTGTTGTCCCCCGCCGTGATATTGCTGGAATATTGCTAGAAGCGGAGTAAAACCATACTCACTCACCCACTCAGATGACTGACTGAGTTTAGTTTTACGCCGCTTTTAGCAATATTCCAGCAATATCACGGCGGGGGACACCAGAAATGCACTCAGATGATGTGACAACACCCGATCCCGGACCAGTCAAACCAGTGGTTGATATCATGAAGAAAGATACACTCTGGTCACGATGACACACAATCAGACATACAACTTCTTTAGAGCGTAGATTATCGGGGACGTTATCTTCACTGGAAGTCCCACGGGAAACATAACGAAAAATGAGTGAGTTAAATTTTACGCCGCTTTTAGCATTATTACAGCAATATCACCTCGGGGGACTCCAGGAATGGGCTTCACACATTGTACCCATGTGGGGAACCGAAACCTGGTCTTCGGCGTGATACCCTGAAGGTCCGGGTTAGAATGAACCTTCAGTAACCCATGTTTGTCGTAAGAGGCGACTAACGGGATCAGGTGGTCAGGCTCGGTGGCTTGGTTGACATATGTCATCGGTTTCCAATTGCGCAGATGGATGCTCATGCTGTTGATCACTGGATTGTCTGGTCCAGACTCGATTATTTACAGACCGCCGCCATATAGCTGGAATATTGCGGAGTGCGGCGTAAAACTAAACTCACTCACTCACTCACTTCGGCGTGACGTGCGAACGCTTTAACCACTAGGCTACCCCACCGCCCCTAACGAGAAATGAACACGTTGATAACCAGCGTTGATCAAAAATAGTACAAAATTTATTGCAGTCAATCCGTTGTTATCACAGAAGTTTTGCTTTGGCACCGAACCCTGTTAGGCATTGAGCAAAATATAAACATCACAAAACTTCTAAAACATGTTAAATAGGCACGTCATGCTGAACGTGGTGTTTCCAAGCTGAAGCACAAACTAGACATAACACTTTCCGTCTACCGTCTACTGGGATAACGCATTACAAGTCTACAATACGGTAGTTAGGTTGAGGTTACACGCTTGCATTACATTACACGCTTGCATTAATTCTCACATCTGGAATTGTGTCACGTGGTCATTGATGTACGGAAGCATCAAAGGGTCATCTCACACGTGCTTCAACATAATGATCATGGCGATGTGAGCAGGCACTCATAATTATGAAACATTCGTTCAGAAACATTTCCATAATTGGGGAAAATTTGGGATTCAAACTTATCATTATCAGATTTTTATCATGCTCAAGGGGCGTAACTCTTGTAAAGCTAATTGCTGCATATACATGACACATCAGCATGTATGTCCATGGCAACCAGCTGGAAAGATTGATGACGTCTGTGTGTTTTTTTTACAGCCCACGGCAATTTACAGTGAGGAACTTCCATTGTAAAAGGATGGAGGGCGATGGGGTAGCCAATAGTGGTTAAAGCGTTCGCTCGTCACGCCGAAGACCCGGGTTCGATTCCCCACTTAGGTACAATGTGTGAAGCCCATTTCTGGTGTCCTCGACGTGATATTGCTGGAATATTGCTAAAAGCGGCGTACAACCATATACTCACTAGTCACTCACTGTAAAAGGTTGGTGAACGAGTTGGCATTGTTCTACGCCATTTGTACCCATATTTCAGCAATATCACGACGGGTAACACACAGGGAGGGAGGGGGTGGGGTTTGATCGAACCCTGGCCCACGGCGTGTGCTTCAACCACTAGGCTACCCATCGCCCTAAAGCAAACGGTGGCTGGACAAAACGAGCAGCATTTATCACAATGACAAAATATTGCTACAATGCATCATGTGTCAGATTGAGTTCGTCCTATCTATGTCCTATCAAGATTACAACTTCATAACACACGTCATGTCAGCTTCTGGGAGACGGTTTCCCCTTCACGAGTGATCGTTATCATGAAATTATTTCGCCATATATCGTTGCATTATTGAGCATATGTGTGATACATAATAAAAGCGTACTTGTGTAGGTACATATGGTAAGTATAGAAACTGATTATATACGAGAAATGTATGTACACATGCATACTTTCAACAAATAAATATATAAAATAGCACCAAAGTTGACAGGTCATCTCGTTGTGTGGATAAATATCGTTAGAAAAGATGAATTTTAAATAGTTTGATAATGTTGGACAAGCACGCGACTAAAACCATGTGATGTTCCTCACTTCATTGCTGAGTGTAGTGAGCGTGCTGTGATGTTCTCGTTTTTTCTCGTTTTTCCAAGGTGTCACGTGATTATTCTCGACAGCTTACTGTAGTGACAGTGACCTAGCCAGAGTGTTCTCTCTGTGACCCAGCGATGTTCACACAATCGTCGTCATGGTTACGGCGTCTCATATGTCCGACATGTTTGTTGTGTGGTTTACTTTGAGCCACATGAAACCGGTCCGTTCCTCCTTGCCCTCTAATTCCATCCTCTTGAGCTCGTAACGCCGGATTAGGTTACCTCCCTTGTATTCGCTGGCACGTGACATGGGCAAGGTCACGCTCCCAACCAGCGTGTCCTTCACCAGGTTTGCTTGCCACATCTGAAACATGGAAAGTGACGCGATAATTGGTATTGATAATGATAAGATGTATCATCCCGAAGGGTAATGATCGTGTATAATAACCCTCCGATACTTGCACATGTGCATTCATGCGACTCTCAATTGTGATTAGTCAGTTGAAGTGATTCACATCACATTATCCCGTACGACTTGAGTTGAGTTGGGTTGTACACATCGGCATTAAGTGACGAGATCAAGTCTGAATTCCTACACATTCTAAATACAAAGTCCAAAAAGAGTTCCCGTATGACGTCTTAATGTGTATTCGGCGTCAACTCAAAAATATGCGGATTCCAATGAAGTGTCTCCTAAGGATCGACATTACATACATTTTCGTGATTTCCGCACTTGAAATGTCAATCAGTAATATACAGTCAAAACCGAATTGAAACGCGGATTTATGTATTTTCTATCCCTCATGAAATAACATACGGACGTACGCGCTGCATGCCCTTGGGGCAGATAATACCTCATACCTTAGAGTTCGTTTAGTATTTTAAACATGTGTCGTTGTGGAGACTATGGAGACGATTACATGATCCTCATATTTGGAATCCTTTCCAGTCTCCATCTGGAGCCTATAAGGCGTACCCGATGTGCTACTGAAACAATGAGTGTGCCAAACAACGTCTTTTGGCATCTGACGTACCACTATGTTAAGGACTCTGGTAAGGTAAATTAGTAGGGCTGCGCAATATAACCGGTTTACCGGTATTTACCGGTTCGGACATGAAAACGATACGTATTGCGATACGCTGATCGAAAACCGGTATTTTGACTTGCATTCGGAAAACTTCGTAACACTCGGAAATCTTCGGATATTTCCTTGTTTCATTTGTGCCAAATATTATTCACATTTTTATTTTTAATCATGAATAAAAGTTGTTATTAAAGCTTAATCAAGCATAGTGATTTTGCTGTGTATTTGCTCTATAAATCAAGCATTACCTCGATTATAAGTAGTTTTTTTGTTTAAAAATACTTCATGCAATATATTGCAATACATATCGCAATACATGCTTTCGCATCGCAATATATCGCAATATGAAAATTCTCTGCAATACCCACCCCTATAAATTAGACTGTGATTTCGCATAAAACGACCACGGGTGCTCATAAGCTTAGAGCTAAATATGATATTGAACTAACACTCACTGCAAAAGCAAGAGCTGAAAAACACATGTGAACATTATAATAAGCATGAGCGTAGGCAGCGCGGGATTCAGAGTACCACCCAACTGACCTCGGCATCCTGCGAACACAGTCGGAATCATCAGCCCCAGTCTGTGTTTTTATGGTCATCACTAACTCCCTGATTGATATTCATAAAAAAAAATAACTCAAAGACTAAAGGAGTTTCGAATGTCTTGAATCAATGTGTTGGGTGTCCCGCCCAGCAATGAGATCTTCATATCCATTACAGACCTGTATATACCCATGAAGATCATGTTAGAAATGGTCTGCAGTAACCCATGCTTGTCGTAAGAGGCGACTAACGGGATCGGGTGGTCTGGCTCGCTGACTTGGTTGACACATGTCATTATATCCCAAATGCGTAGATCACTGGATTGCCTGGTCCAGACTCAATATTTACAGACCGTCGCCATATAGCTGGAATATTGTTGAGTGCAGCGTAAAACTAAACTCACTCACTCACCACAGGTATAAAAGTTAGATGAAGGTGCAAGATCAAATTGAATGTTTGGTAAGTGGTGATTGATGTAGTTCGTATGTAGTATCTAAATATGAAATGTAGACATTAGGAAGATAGTATCTGTGTTTGTTGTGTCAGCTCATGGGAACCGGTCTAATGCATGCCTGTTGAGTTAGTGACTGACCTCTATGACGACATCCTCTTGTGGTTTCTTCCTATAAAGCGTCACTCTGTCTCCCCAGGTGGCCGTGGGAGCCTTCTTGGAGGTTGTGGTCTGGAACACCTTCCCCTCACACTTCACTATACAGTAGGCCTGGATCTCTGTAACACAGCATGGCTTGATTAACAGTCAACAACTGTAACGACCCTGTCCTCATCTTTGTTGGCTGTTACGACGAACAACGGATGCTGGGGTTCTATTTGATGCTTGGATCACCCCAGGACTGACTGACTGACTGAGTTTAGTTTTACGCCGCTTTTAGCAATATTCCAGCAATATCACGGCGGGGGACACCAGAAATGGGCTTAACACATTGTGCCCATGTGGGGAATCGAACCCGGGTCTTCGGCGTGACGAGCCACCGCTTTAACCACTAGGTTACCCCACCGCCCATCACCCCAGGAAGGATTTAACATGAACTAACGTCGTAACAAAACCTCCTGAGCCAAAATCTGTTGTATCTGGTGTAATTATTGTACATAGGAAACATGTCACATATCATTGTATCTCAGTTACGTAGATTGATGCTGATGCTGTTGATCACTGGATTGTCTGGTACAGACTTGATCATTTACAGACCACTGAGTGCGGTGTTGAACAATAAGCAAACACATCTAAACATCGGAAACATACTGAAGGTTTCCATATTTAACTATTAGTCTGCTGATTTGTTAAAGAAAAGGAACGATTTTTGTGAGAATGTATTCACTGTAAAATGTAGAATTAGTTTTAGACTAATGTCCTACCGTCATCGCCGTTCTTCTGTGCGAGGCCGTCCGCGTTGACGATGGTTACTGCCGTGGCCGCTACCTTTGCTGTTCCCATACAACCTGGAGGTTTAGGCTCATCACGAGTTAACTCCCTGGAACAACAGCGAGATGAATAGTACTGATAACTCCAATTAAAGAACATAAGTTAGAAGGCTTTGTTTCGCTTCCTACCAAACATTACCGTTTAACGTTAGTCATGCCTCCACTCTCACTCATTCATTCTTTAAGTAATCTTCTACAGTGTCATGTATATTTACTGTAATAGTAAAATACGCACATACCACGGAGAGGGCAATCTATAAGTTGCAAGGACGGTGTCGGCCCGATACCGCGAAAAACTCAAATTATAGAGAACCGACGCCACGAATTTTTTTTGGTATAAATCCGTTAGGTTGGGACCGATCGCGCGAAACTCTATAATCGGTGAACTATGAAGTTAGGCTGAGCTAGTTGAAGAAGGATTTGCGCTGAATCTGCCATAAACCACAAGGACCTGCAATTGTCCCCCAGTCCCGTTAACATCATTTATATAATAAACTGTAATCTTGTAAGCATTGTAAACAATATCACTAATAGTTTCGCCTCCAAACATGGGTATAATGTATGAAATCACGACGTGGATTTACTTTTTTTTATTTAAAGATTCAATGTTTCTACTTTTCTGTTGCTTTTTCTGCCCACCTCGACAAGAAATGAGAACATCAGACCTTATCTGATCAACTATGAAGGTCTCGAAGGAGATGAGAGCGTGTTGGCTCGTATTTCAGAGATATGAATTCAGATGATATAACAACAACGACAATTTCATAACGGACAACTTACTTGAGTTTGATTGCCCCAGCTGTGAATATACGAAGTACGTGTGACCCCTCCTGTCCAGGGTCAAAGGTCGAGGGCACAAGGAGGTACCTGCCCTTGCTGAGGGAGAAGCGGCTGAAGATACTCCTGGCCTGGACGAATGGAGTTGCGTGGACACGGTCCAGCTTGTCGTGCATGCGGTACTTCCGGTTTACGTCAGTCTGAAGTACGTAGAGAGGTGAATGAAGCTCGATGTTTGATTGGTCAGAACTATCAGACCATTCTGTTGATATTGTAGAATTGAGTATATATACCATTTGTTTGAACATAATAAAAAGGGTAAAATGTCGAAGAAGACCAACCTTCATTATGGTGACACCGATGGTGAAATTATCTCCCCTTTGTTTGCATTTGACCGAGCGCCTGTCTTCCTGTTCCAGAGAGATCATTACTTCCTCCTCGTCCTGGTACACCTCAAATATGTACTGTAAAGGACAAACTTATGTTCCATATTTCAGAGGAAAGCATTACTTCGAAAACTGTTTTTTACTGCCCCAAACAAACATTACATATGATTCCATGAGACACAAGATAGTATTTTATGCTGTAATCGTATATGTGTAAGTTAGCATAGGGTATACGATTTACATTTTGATCAAACAAGTGATGGAATCACTGCTTAACATATTGCTTAACATACACGAATCACTGCTTAACATATTGCTGGCACGATCTGATGCAAACATGGCAAATAGCAACTTATTCGATCACACAGTGGGACTTGTTTGGGCAATGTCACTTCGTGTGACCAGCACCTATACATTGGTACAAGTGAATGTTGTTACTTGATCATTAAAGGTCACATGCAACGTAAAACACAACTTTGCAGATTCTGATACCTTTCGGTATGGACTTACAGATACAAATCATCAAAGATGCAAAATCAACTTATACAGTTGAAAAATAACGCGATGAAAAAAACCATGCTGGACATGTGCGTTGCTTCCATGATGGTCTCACCTGTGGGTTTTTCAGGAATGAGGCGTGGTTGCCACAACCTCCCGCCCTCATCGGTCTCTTCCACTCCCCCCGGGTGGCAGTAGCGGCCCATGTCTTCTTGAGGGTAAAGAAGCGGGTGTTGATCATGTGGCAGATATCGATCTGCGTGAAGTATCGACAGAAGTCATCGAACGACATCCTAGCCAAAAAGCAGAATTATTCATATATTACTTTAACTTTAACTGGCGTTAATGTGATGAAGTTGTCATTACAATCATTTGCGATTAATGCAGTCAGTTTTAGGTCTGAACCAAGTGCTGATATACCTATCGGGATAAGGTCAAGATTAGATTTGTCAAAAACATCACTGAAGACGGAGCAACAGATAAACAAACTCGATGAAAATAATTTTTGGTTGGTTGCGTCCTTTGTTCATTACACTGTTAGTTTCAATAAGGAATATGGAGCCTTCAGTTTGACACAGTTTACTTAAAACTCGTGAAATGACGGATCACAAGAAATTGTACAAATACTTTGTAATCGTATGAGTGAGTGCGTGAGTTTAGTTTTACGCCGCTGTTAGCAATATTCCAGCAATATCACGGCGGGGACACCAGAAATGGGCTTCACACATTGTACCCATGTGGGGAATCGAACCCGGGTCTTCGGCGTGACGAGCAAACGCTTTAACCTCTGGGCTAACCCACCGCCCTTGTAATCGTATGAAACTTAAACATGCTTTTACATGATCCACCAATACTACATTTGCTTATCCATTTAACTTATGTAATGTTTTATCAAAATAACTTTCGTTTAATGAAAGACCGGTAGTTGGAAAACGAGATTTGCGGTGTGCTTTAATTAAGATGGATCCGTGATTATATATATTGTGTCAAAGACCTAAAATAAATGCTTTTCCGAAAAAGTAAACAAATCTACCAAAATTCTCCGTTCTCGTCGAATGTCAGTCCAAGGTCTTTCTTCTCCTTCTCGCTGACTTTCTGCCACTCAGCCGACCTGAAACATTGTTGTGAGACTTGAACATGAACAGTGGTGCGTCGTTTTTCAGCACGAAGGCTCACGCGTCGTGATTTTAAGAGCGCTTTGTGTGGAACTAGGGAGAAAACAAAATTATACTTCTTACAGTTTCTCACATTGCTCATGACTCTTTTTCGTTCCATTTATGCAATGGCTGTAACATAAAATACCACACTGTCCCTGCAATATGCTGATAGAATCTACGGACCCGGGGACTAGTGGAGCTGAAGTACATGTGTCAACTGCAGTTATCCATATTTGGACTGATCAGGAATCAGTCGGTCCAAAGTTCGACGTTTCTGACCCAATACGGCTGACATTTCACAAGTTTACCTCAAACACATTTTCAGGATGTGAGGGACGTTGTCGTCGCAGGTACTACAGATATGTACCCCAGGTACGTTACTGTCCACAGAAAAATCCCTAAACAAAGCAAAATACATAAACGTACCCGGTGCCCTAAACGGAGGACGAGTCCATATATTCCGCAAACCCAAATAGAAACAGTAACATGGCAAACATTGTATTTTGAGTAAAAGTAAATATTCTCGCCCATGGGCCAAAATGTTTTTCGCCCATGGGCGAGATTTCTTAATATCGCTCTAAATTAGCCGAATTAAGTCAAAATGAGTTGAAATTTGTGTCATGATGCTTAAAAACATACACTCATTCATTTACAACCTCCAAAACATGAATTCTGAGCGAAACTAAACATGGGCGATCGAGTTTAAATTTAAAGTTTTCGAACAGATTTTTTTTTTTTTCATCCTTAGCATATACTCATAACAACTGCATGTTTAATTTTGTCGAATCCCTTGTCAGAAAGTGTCCAAAGTGCGGAGAGTTTCTGGACTTTTGTGAGTCCAGAATTAAATTGTGACGTGTTGTATGTAGTTGTTCCCGTAACTGATTGTCAGTGGTGTCGTGCATCGCGAAATATTCGTTACTGTGTCTGCTCGTTTCTCATATAAAGTAATCGAATGCATCTAATACAACATTATGACAGTTCCGATTTAGAAAAAGGCACAATGTGGAATGGACTCGACCTAGGGTACGTTTCTGTATTCTGATTTTGGCTGGGGTACGTTTCTGCATACAAAAACGTACCTGGGGTACACGCCTGTAGTACCCGTCCCGTCAACGACCCCTTCAGCTCAACTGCCCCAGTCAATAATTATTCGTCCTGGGACCAACTGATTTCATTTCAGTCGGTTCGCATTTTGATAATATCCTCAATGCGGCTTCACAAGACGAGCGCAAACGCACTCACACATCTACAGCAATCCCCATTGAATACTTGCGGTGAACTGTTCAGGAGCCTAAGGGGAGGCTACTCTGTTATCACTATACCTCATGACCACCTACCCGTCACTCCATGGCCCCCGCCACTCCACGCCACCCCATGGGTTCCTCAGTCGGATCATCTGGATCTTCTCCCGGTTAAAGAAACTGAAGAGTCCAGTTCCTTTCAGGTGGACATTGCGGACACCTGTGACGCTGTAGGCGTGACCCTTCACCAGGCCGATACTGAGTTTCACCTCCATCTCCGCCGCCGACTTGGCCTAAACATGAGGCAGTGGAGTATTGTAAGTGGACATTGGTCAATATGTGATTCAGAGCTTATGCTCGAAAGTTTAATTTCATGGTACTGCTATGGGAAATGTATTATACATCCGACACTCTGGTTGGATATCCATCACTCTTGTTTGATATCTGTCACTCTGACTGAAAGCACATGTTTGGCCCATCCGCTCACAAGGTGCCGGAATTTGCGAGGAAAGTTGCACCCAAATGTGGAGACAAAAGCCGGGGTTGATGCCCCACATGGGTGCAATGTGTGGAGTCCATTTCCGATTTCGCCGCCGTGTTATTGCTGGAATATTGCTTAAAGCGACCTTAAACCATAATTACTCACTCAACTCACTATATATACTTGACAAATGTCAGCGACCTGTTTCACTCAAACCTCCATCCACAAGAAGCCGACTTAAATACAGTTCAGAGACCTACATCACAGAATGCGACCACAACATCAGTTTGTCCGGTACTCACGACAATCGATGCGCTCATGAGCGACTTGTGGTCCATGGCCTTGTGAAGGATGTCGAACAGCTTCATCCGCTTGTCCTCTGACCTGTAGTCGTTGACGTCCAAACCCTCCCCCACGCCGCCCGTCATGTCTACCATGGCGTCCCTGGCCTTCCCCGCGGTCAGGGCTTCGTACGACCCGAACAACCTGTAACAGGACGTGGTCACTTAATAACGAGGCACATTTCACCTTGCTCTTTGATCTACAAAGGTCAGCTGCAACGTTAGGTTAAACCCGTAGGATGTTTTGTACCAGTGATGGGACAAAACATCCCACGGTTTTAACCTAACGTAAAAAGTATCATCTGAGTATGTTTCCGTGTAATAAATATCATAAGTGTTTTCTTGTAGCAAATTATTTTTATAATAAACATTAATATTGTTTATTTCTAGTACTTGATATTTCCGACACAGAAAAAATGAAGGTAATACTCATATAATATAACAAAACGTCATTCTTAAAACAATCGACGTTTACGACGTCATTTTGCTGAGTGAAGACCTTTCAGAAACCGAGCATTAAAACAGTGTTCAAGTGTACTGTCTGTCCCATTCGTGATGTTTTACCAAATAATTTGCAGATATGTTTGCCGACATAATCACCAAAAGAAATGGTTTATTAACCAAGGAGATATTGGTTCCGGGTATGGTGATTATTGGTAACGACATAATTCGCATAACTATCGGACAACTTCATCAGATATTGTATATTGATATCGTTGGCTCTGACCTTTACGTCTATTCTCAAACGAAAACGACCCATTCTTTATCACAGCTTGATTTGGTAACAATGTTCTGCGTTTGTATCACAAATTTTGCCTCATACATGAACTAAACTCAACATAACAGAAACAATAATTGTATCTACATAATTCTGCTTTGTTAAATTTTGTATATTAATTATTCACAGTTGTATAGTCCAAAACTTACTTTGCATACGCTTTTTCCAGTAGAGCTGACCAGAATTCATTCCTGGATTTGGAGTGCATGAATATCAGCCTGCCCTGTCTGAAAGATACAAGTAAACAGTTCATCAAATGCATATAAGTAACGGCGAAGTACTCTGACTATGTACACGTGATAGGACAGATGCATGTACAGATAGGGCATTCTATGTTAACGTATTTTGTGTTTTTGTTTTCGGTCTTCAAAAGCCTGAAGTGATTATTTTAGGGCTGGTGATAACCGTGTCCACGTAATTATGCTAAATAATGTCTCAAACAGACAAGCAGACACTTAAAGTGTCGTTCAGAAAATGTGAAAAATTGCTCTAAATAGGTTTTTATGCTTTCGGAACACACAGGAGAGGATGAAAACTACATATCTTGGATTTGTTATATCATTTTGTAAATTCATATTTGAAACTGGGATGTGTTTCGGTTCAGCCCGATGAATACACACACCTCGTGGGTAGGTAGTCGTCTATTACAACGTCTTCCCATTGCCCACAACGCCAGAACTTGAAGTGGAAGATACCGGCGTACTTGTTTCCTGGCGCCCATTCCTGACTCTTGTAATCTGGTACCACCTGAAACACACACGTTCAACACAAACTACAAACTACAACATGTGGTTCTTATTGTCACGTTGTTCCTACGACATCATTGTGAATGATATGACAGACCCATTCTAACGGTATCTGGACTATTGTGATACCACGTCTGTTCTCCATCCTTCAATCTATAAATCTTTGTGCGTAGATGCAATTTGGTGATGGTTAGAATAGGATACAGCGAACTCAAAGGTACCATTTGTTCAGTTCATGACACTCGAAGTACGTTAATTAAATATGCACCAGCAGTCACCGTGCTGCTATGAATATGTCTTTCCCATCCATTCTTGTGAGGACTGGTGTTCAGTAACTCACGCTTGTCGTAAGGTCGACTTATGTGATCGGGTGGTCGTACGCGGACTTCCATGTGATCGTATCCCACTTTCTAAGATCAATGCGCATGACGTAAATTGAAGATTGGCTCAGGCTCGACCATGTATAGATCGCAGTTGAATAACTGGCATATTGTTGAGTAGGCGTTAAATAGTCTGTCTCACAGTCCCTGCACCACATAATTATTGGCTTGCCCTCCCTGCAATGCTAGAGCCCCAAATGAAGCATGTGTATATTTCCTCAGGTTCTGAATCTCACATCTCACTGGGACACCTTTTCAATTTAATGGGATTAATTGTTACTATCAAAATTATATATATTCAGAGACTTAGCGTTAGTCTAGGCGTTAAACAACAAACAGTTTTACCTTTTTCCAAAGAGTGGAATCTTCCGCGATGCAGGCACAGGCTGCGACGAACCAACAGTTGCCTAGGCTACCTTGAGAGAAGTCATCAGCACTCGCCTTGTCCATGAAAAACCTGGGGTCCGGCACAATGTCCTGAAACAAGCAGAACAGCGTCAGCGGGGAGTCAACAAAATGGAACTACTATGGTGTCAACTGCTTTGCCGTCATCATTGCGCGTAGCGTACACGTAGTGGCGTCGCGAGAAATAGATGCAACTTAGCATTCCGTGCAGTTATCACTATTCCTCCATTAGAACTTTGTTAGGGTCAACAAGGTTAGAGTACGATGAGAAGGGTCTTTGATATTTCCGATTCGCGTCATTGTACCGGATGACAAGGGGCTTTGGTATTCTAGATTCGCGTCATCGTAAATGATGGTAAGGGTCTTTGGTATTCCCGATTCGCGTCAACGTAAATGATGGCAAGGGTCTTTGGTATTCCAGTTCGCGTCATCGTAAATGATGGCAAGGATCTTTGGTATTCCAGTTCGCCTCATCGTAAATGATGGCAAGGGTCTTTGGTATTCTACATTCGCGTCAGCGTAAATGATGGCAAGGGTCTTTGGTATTCTACATTCGCGTCATCGTAAATGATGGCAAGGGTCTTTCGTATTCCCGATTCGCGTCATCGTACCCGGGTGGCAATGATATTTGGTACTCCTGATTCGCGCCATCGTACTTTGATAACTGATCCTGTTCAGTCACTACCTCGATCATAAACAGGTCGCTATTACCTAGGTGGAAATAACGACGCTAAAAAAAATACTGTACAATTCTCTCTGAATGTTCATTAAATGTATGAATCATGATCATCAGGAGACAAATGTTTAGAATTTCGATATCTGTTTATTCCCAGTTCCGACACTGGCCCGTTGTATTTTCCAGGAACAAATTCTCCCAACTGTAGATCCAGGACTTCTTGAGTTATGTTGATTGAGCCAATCACAGCAAGATCCAATCTGATACGATACCTCTTTGCGTGAAGATGTGAGAACACATGCATACAAGGTCGTGTCAGGTGAACTGTTTAATCAGCTAATTAGCGTCGAGGCTGCCATATTGTCGGTACGAGAGGGCGAAGCAATCAGACCTGCATATATGATTATTGTATCTCTAAAACGAACTGACACGAACTTTCCCAAAGGTACACAATGTCCGGGATATTTTTTAACCCTGTCTGTCTGAGAGGACTAATCCTGATCCCCCTTGAGCTCTGCAAGGCCTCTCACTCCTGACAGTAAGGTAGGTGTGTGACGAGGAACAGTTTTCATCAATTAGATATGCAGAAAGAGATGTGTGATTTGAGTTGAACGACGCTTTGAAACGTTTTCCATATTCCTTGGCGTGTCAGCTAAAGGAAAGTCCGAAATTATTTAGGTCTTAAACGTTTACCACTTTGGTGAAACCCACCACCATGGCTGTGGCGGTAACAAACCTAGAACATAACTGAGGGAACCGGGACTCGAACCCACAATACTTTTAGGTTTCTGGTCCGGCCCAAGGGACGCAACTTTGCTGAGCGAATTGCGTTGCCCTAGACTGCTTGACCAGCTAATAAGAGAACGAACAGTACATCCAATTTGTTTTGATTAAAAACCATTGTCGAGCATTTCGAGAACGTCAGACTGGGAGTTAACTGGTGGAAGTCTTACTACCACGAACTGGAAATATGATACAACGCATACCGTCTGGCGATCACAAACGGTGTTGCGTTACTATTTTGTTTGAGTATATAAACACTGACGCCACTCCATCACTCAAGTTAGTCTGAAGTTCAGTGCCAAGTAGCGCGAGACTGGCCTCATTCCACGCGAAATAGCGTGACGCTAGCCTCCTTCAACGCCAAGTAGTGTGAGGCTAGCCTCCTTCCATTAGCGGTATCCGTCTTCTCACCTGATTTACGCCAGTCAGGTTTAACTTGGAGGCGGAAATAAGTGTTTAGGTTGATGTCTGACCGGGCATTAGACATGAGTAGAAAACACTCTGGGAGGTCCACAACACTGGAACCGGTAGGGCTGTACCTTGAGCACGTACACCTGGCAGGTGTACGTCGTCATGTTAGCAGGCGTTGTTGGTGTAGTGGTAGTTGTGGGAGCCCCTGTCGGGATTGTTATGGCTTGCGTTAAGCAGCGAACGGCAGAATGTATCATTGTGGTTGTCATAATTAATGAACGTCATAGGTTTGAGTAACCCTTTCACAGTATTTCAGTGATGTCAGCTGAGCACGCGGTGAGTGAGTGAGTTTTGTTTTACGCCGCACTCAGCAATATTCTAGCTATATGGCGGCGGTCTGTAAATAATCAAGTCTGGACCAGACAATCCAGTGATCAACAGCATGAGCATCGACCAATGCAACTGTGATACGATGACATGTGTCGGCGAGCCTGATCCCGTTAGTCACCTCTTACGACAAGTATGGGTGACTGAAGATCCATTCTAGCCCGGATCGTCACTGGTCTGAGTACAAGGTAATGCAGGTGATATACTGGAGTGAGCGAGTATTCCAAGTATACATGTATACACAAGCGAATCACAAAAGCAACGTTATCTTTAAAAGCAAGGTTGTTAAACATATTCAAAGTTAGCAATATTGTTCAGCTGTTTAAAACACGGACTATCCCTCATCAGCAACCAAAGCTGGGTCACCTCGCCGATGATTGCCACAATCAGATCAGATGTTAGATGGCATTCGAACATAGAATCAGCGGATCCTGGTTCGTTTTAAACCATTTTGCAAACTAGTTGCTATAGGAACATATATCAATTTTCCCTTCTCTTTAAAACACATTATCGTAATTTCCGAACAAACTTGTCTCAAGTATTCACTCCTCAACCCCTAAGTACTACTTAACTCAAATCTCTAAAGCACATGAAGCAATCACTCTGCCAAGGCAGAAAGGAAACCACAGCTCATTCTGGGCCATAAAGGCTGCGATCGGAGTTAAAGTACAGAAGATTTCGAGCAAAATAACCCATAAGGTAAACATGTAATTTCACCATTATCGTTTTGAAAAGTTGAATATGGGTACCAAATACGACTTTATTTGCGTTCCATGTACCCTAATGCTGACCGAGTTAGAATTCATCTTCAGTAACCCATGCTTGTCGTAAGAGGCGAAAAGGGGATCGGGTGGTCAGGCTTGGTGGCTTGGTTGACACATGTCATCATAATCCCAATTGCGTAGAACGACGCTCATGATGTTGAACCCTGGATTATCTGGTCCAGACTTGATTATTTACAGACAGCCGTCATATAGCTGGCTCGTGCAGCGTAAAACTTAACTCATTCATTCACTCACTCACTCACTCACTCATGCACTCACTCTAATGCAGAGTTCGGAATATGGTTTACAGTGACCAATGGATCCAGAATAAGGGGGCTGGCAGCCTCATTGGTCTGGTTTTCAACAGTTAGTACATGATTGGGATCTTCATACTGGCGCCAGTCTGTTAATTAGTTTCATTATGTATGTTATTTACCTTTGGCCTCTTCCAGACAATATCTGCAGGCGCCGGGCGGCTGTAGAACAGTGATGACCCAGACGGGGGGAACTCGCCGTCCACGTACAGCGCATTCTTCTTCACACACTTCCGTTTGAGCTTGCCGTACTTCTGTCCCTTTCGAGGCACCGCCGTGCTGCTTGAAGCCATTCTGAAAGAAAATGAACCGTAGAAAACATTTTCGTCAAATTACCTCTCATTCGTGGGTGAATCGTGTGATTCCGGCACAGCGGAACGAGCGACGGAGCAAAACGATTGGCTACGAGACGGGGTTTTTCTTTTGAAGCGTTATCTCCCTTTATTTAAGGAAAAAATGGTGCCACTTCCGGGTCAACGTTTATGCTTGAATGTGATATGATATATTGCTACCTAAAACGTCATTATTCACAGTCACATGGAGCTCATAGACCAGATGTAATATGGATTTCTCGTCTGGGAGTTTTTAACAAAATTGGTTCCAGGCAATGCTGGAAACAGTACTTACAGTATAGTAGTGGGTTCAGAATAATTTCAGACGAAAACATTCAACAAACTTTTATACCTGACACAAATCCCAGAGCGCCAAGAATGTCAAATGGTCGGATCCAGATCTACCAAGCACAAACACAACATTGAAATAAAGGAAATCTGTTTCTATTCTGGTGTATCATTACATATCAGGGGCGTAGCTACAATCATAAAAAAGCCCGGGCTTACACATGATTTGAGCTAAAGATCACCATGAAAGTTGGACAAGCCCTCAATACTATCTAAAAATAAAGCTTGGCAACCTAGCGGGCTTACACGAAAAAATCGGCTTGATTCGCGCCTGCTTCTGCTCCTGAACATGTTCCGTTCGTTACCAGCACGTGCTGATTGTTTGCTAAATGTAAACACTATCAGCGCTTGTAAAACTGAAAGTGTAACATGAAAAACGTCCACGAAATGTTAAATGCATCACCAGTTACATGCAGTAAGCTAATGGAGGACATTATGTGGGAAGTACAGTGTACACAAAAGCATTCAGGTAGGCCCTGGGCAACTCTCCACAAAGCTGCCTCGATGTCACAACTACCGTAGGTCGTAGCTTAGACTTATGGATGGAACGGAACACACGAGCACCACAAGGGACCTCTTAATTGCGTTTAAATTCTAACACATTCAGTTGAAACAAATTTGACACGTATTTAGTAATGAAATAACGAATTTTCCGATTCCATAAAATCGTTTTTCAAACTCAATGCCATTACATCGAAACCGTTTCACACTACAGTCAAATGATGACACCAATGTTACAGGCTAATTCGCAGGACGTATATAGACTTTACACGTGTTTGTGACAAAAACTGGTATGTTCTGAAATGAAGACTCATGCCACTATTAGGTACAACTGTCACTGCGACTTATAATGTATATTGGGGGCGGTGGGGTAGCCTAGTGTCTAAAGCGTTGGCTCGTCACGCCGAAGACCCGGGTTCGAATCTCCACATGGGTACATTGTGTGAAGCCCATTTCTGGTGTCCCCCGCCGTGATGTTGCTGGAATATTGCTAAAAGCGGCGTAAAACCAAACTCAGACAGTCAGTATAATACATATTGTGTATATATGTTTCTATATTGCTAACAGTCAAGCACTATCGGATCATCCGCAGAATGATCGCTTAACACAACACACTCACAACATATCCAGCACAACTGTCCAACAGTATGTATAACCCCAGCTGTTCGTGGTCATCGGTCAATAGAACACCGCCAACATTTTAAGTATGTAACCATTCAGTGTACAAAGAATAATTACTGTTACCTATGTTTTTTAGTTCCTTTCGGGTCAGTGACTTAGCACAGTAGTCAAAACGTTTGTTCGTCACAGCGAAGGTTGCATTTCGATTCCCCACATGGTTTTGTTTGTTTGTTTGATATTGTTTAACGCCGCACTCAGTAATAATCCAGCTATATGGTGGGGACTTGTAAATTATCGAATCTGGACCAGACAATCCAGTGATCAACATCATGAGCATCGTGCTACGCAATTGGGATTACCCTGACCACGCGATCCCCTTAGTCGCCTCTTACGACAAGCATGGGTTACAGAAGACCGATTCTAACCCGGATCTTCACGAGTCAGCATTAGGGTACACGGAACGCAAATAACGTACAGCGTACATCGTGTATTTGATATCCATATTTAAGTTCTCAAAACGATAATGGTGTAAGTACATGTTTACTTTATGGGTTATTTTGCTCGAAATCTTATGTACTTTAACTCAGATTGCAGCCTTTATGGCCCAGAATGAGCTGTGGTTTCCTTTAAGATCGGCATTCTGCCTTGGCAGAGTGAATGCTTCATGTGCTTTAGAGATTTGAGTTAAGTAGTATTCGGGGTTCAGGAGTGATCACTTGAGATAAATGAGTTTGGATATTACGATAATGTGTTTTGAAGAAAAAGGAAAACTCATTTATTATGTTCTTATAGCAACGCCGCACTCAGTAATAATCCACCTTTATGGTGGCGACCTGTAAATTATCGAATCTGGACCAGACAATCCAGTCATCACGGTCACTGAGTATCGATCTCCGCAATTGGGATACCAGGCTAGCGAGCCAGACCACCCGATCCCGTTAGTGGCCTTCTACAAGCATGGGTTGCTGAAGACCAGTTCTAACCTGGATGTTCACGGGTCCCAACATGGGTACAGTGTGTGAAGCCTATTTCGTGTGTCCCCGGCTGTGATACTGGTGGAGGGGCGGTGGGGTAGCCTAGTGGCTAAAGCGTTGGCTCGTCACGCCGAAGACCCGGGTTCGAATCCCAACATGGGTACATTGTGTGAAGCCCATTTCTGGTGTCCCTTGCCGTGTTGCTGGAATATTGGTAAAAGCGGAGTAAAACCAAACTCAGTCAGTCAGTCAGTGATACTGGTGGAATATCGATTAAATCGGCGTAAAGCAATATCCAGTAACTCAACAGAGTTCCGTATACTACTGAAGTAAAAATAACAATGGTATTTGTCTTGGGTACCAAGCTGTTCGGAGCTCTCAGATCACGTACGGACTACACGACCAGGAATAACCCGATGGTCGGTCTTTGGTCTATATACAGAAGGATGTCGAATAATTTGGCAGTACATCAAAGAATTCCAGACAGGAAGCTAAGTCAGGCTGAGATGAACCTGAATGTCTTCTCTCGCCGAGTACCTGTTAGGTTTATGTGCTGGAGGCGGATTGTGTTGCCATGATTAACACAAGCCACCTGTGGTGACCGTTAGCTAATGTGTACACGGTCAGATCAAACACGTATGGCGGCTTCAAGCATTCCTATAATGAAAACAGGAAGGTAAATGAGGATGTTTATCCATACGTCTGTAAGGATAACTGTAATTACGTCGTTTATACACGGGGGCGATGGGGTAGCCTTGTGGGTAACGCGTTCGATCGTCACTCCAAAGACTCGGGTTCGATTCCCCACATGGGTACAATGTGTGAAGCCCATTTCTGGTGTCCCCGCCGTGATGTTGCTGGACTACATGTATTGCTAAAAGCGGCGTAAAACTACACACTTACTTGTTTATACACGGGTTCCAGCGAAAAAGGTTGTAGTCTAAGTTCACTGTTAAAATTTGCATTTGTCCAACAGAAGGTTATTCTCGCAATCTCGTAGTACTTTATATAGTCACTGTGTTTCCTGATGTTCGAGATATTAGGAGAAGAATGCTTATATACACATGCCAATATATAGCACTTAATGAGGTGTTTTGACTACATATCGCCCTTTACCGTTTGACCTCGGTATCCGGTTTAGTTAATTTCACAGTCCTCTACAATAATAAAAACCGTAAACCCTTTCCCGAGCCATAAGAAATATCTGGTTAAAACAGAGTCTATTGTACCATTCCGACTTTATATTATGAGCGTGTGTTTGTTTGTTTGTTTGTTTATCGCCGCACTCAGCAATATTCCAGCTGTATGACGGCGGTCTATAACCAACTTCTGGAATCTTACCGAAAAGAAAGCACAAAATACCAGGGATGGTTGTCCAACGTGCAACAGTTGTTGGCACTTAAAGCCCTCTCCGCGGTTGCCTTGTGTTATCAGCCTATCTCTCAACACGTGTTCTAAGCAGCATCTACTGCTGACAAGACGTCGTCATGGGTTTGTCTGTCATAGGTCTCGTTACACCTCCACATTCAATAGTTTGGTGCATTTTGGAGGAAAAGGTCAACGCTGATTTAATATAAGCGGGTGGTGGGGACTATTGCTAAATGTGGCGTAAAACTAAAACATACTCACTCACTAATATAAGCGAAACGAATGGTATTTTCCTATCTAACTGTGATTCTTGATTTAGTTATTACCACTCGACCACTGGTGACTCTACTCCAGCAATCGCCTCTTCGTTTTAAATCGGAACCACACCAATAGCATTATGGCATTCTTTAATTGACTAGAAAATTATAGTTACTATCTGCACACAACAAGTGATGCAAAGTCCCTGAACCACACTATTTTCCCTACTGCCTAGCCCTCTCTGCGTTTGACTGATTACGAAAACGTGATACTGGCTCAAATATGCATAAAAATCCTGAAATAAGTGCAAAAATATTGTCTCTTTCTGTACTCTTCACTGTGGAGGAATAAAAGATTATTTATATTTAATGCTAAAGCTATAAATGAAGCAAGTCTAGATTTCCTCAGGTTCAGGAATCACTTGTCTCCCTTTTAATTTAAATGGGTTTGTTTGTTACTATCAAAATTACATATATTCTGAGACTAAGCGTTAGTCTAGTGATGCACATGTGTGCAAGACGTGACCTACGCAGCTGGCAACACCATTTGTACAAGGAATGAATGATTTACAGCATCGTTCATGTGCACGGGGTAGCGATGTAAACACGCCATGGCTGGAAGCTGTCTCCAGGCTGTGTATCTGAGACTGGGTGATAGTCTACATAAACACACTCTCGGTGAATTACAATGTAATCATACGATCAGCGAGTTCGTAGTCAAATACCACATGAAATCAAAGATATTGCTGCAGTGTAGAGAAGACGTCCTGAGCATACAAAGCCATATGCCATAGGAAATTAAAACCTGTGAGAATATTTTCTGGTAATTTGATTCGAAAGTTGTGTGCATTCAGACAACTTCACCGAGCTTTGATGGAGAGGTGGGGTAGCCC